AGGCTGTCGCATTCACCCCGTTCCTGTTCGGGGACGCGGCGACGTCGTTGACGCTCCTTGCAGGCGGGGTGATGCACGGATTCGCTCTCGCCAGTTTGGCGGCGGAGGAGTTGGGAAGACGCATGGAGCGCCGACGGCGGATATGGGTCATGGAACGAAGCGGGGGTGTGTGGAGGGATTTGCAGCGAGTTGGCCGTGAGCACGACAAGGTGTTTGTCCGATTCTGCAGACTGCCTCGCCCGCTATTCTTCGAAGTGCTGGGTAGAATTGCACCCCATATCCAGCGAGCCCCAACGAACTTCAGGAATCCTATTCCTGCTGGTCAGAAGTTCGCCATGGCTCTCATTAGGTGGGCGACCGACGGGTATTACCGGAAGACCTCGCATGGCATGGGCATGGGCCTTGCGAGTGCCTTGTGTTGCAACAAAGAGGTCGCGGATGCTATCATCAGCAAGTATGGCCATCTCCTTCGGTGGCCGACTGGCCCTCGAATGCAGGAAGTGGAGAACGCTTTCGAGGCGAAAGGGTTCGCCGGTTGCATCGGTGCAATTGATGGCACCCATTTGTACATCGACAAACCGAAGGGTATGCGCGGGGAATGCTACTACCATCACACAGGACAATTCTCTGTCCAGTGTCAGGTAGTTTGTGACCACGAGTGCAGAATCACTAGTGTTTACGTGGGGTGCCCAGGGTCTGTGCATGACTCGAGAGTTTTGCGCATTTCGGAACTGTTCCGTCAAGTCTCGCAAGGGGCAGGTGTCTTCAGCGAGGGATCTGCACACCTGCACGACGGCAGACACGTGGGACGGTGTGTGCTTGGTGATCAAGGTTACCCTCTCCTGCCATGGATCATGACACCTGTCGGGAGGACGACTACAACAGCTCAGGAACGAACCTACGACAACTGTCACTCGACGGTGCGGTCTTGCATCGAGCGCTGCTTCGGCCGACTGAAGGCCGTGTGGAGGAATTTCATCCGGCCAGACATCAGCAACATGAAAACCATTTGCAAGGAAGTGATGGCAATCTGCATCCTCCACAACCTGATGATCGAGCACAGGGTGGAATTTGACCCTAGTGTGCTCGATAGTGGTAGCGACAGCGATGGTGACGATGGTCATCGCAGACGCTGTCGTCGGCGGAGAGATCGTCGTCGTTTCGTTCGTCACATGCCCGACCTCAACGTCGAGCCCGTGGTGGACGATGACCTACAAACGGGTCCGCGCTAGGGGAGTTGGTTCGCAGGAGTCTGATCGAGCATGTGGACCACCACGTGGCGGTTCATGGTGCGCCGCCGCCATGTCCGTGGCGATAGTTGACGACGTGGAAGACATGCCACGTAGGATTTAGGGACAGCGGCAGGGAGTGGCAGCAGGAGCGGGTCCGGGGTCGGGTCGGATTGGTGGTTCATAGGATTCCGGGTTTGTGTGCGAGATTGTCATAGTTCCAGTGAAATTCAGTGATGGAAAAAAACACGTTCTCGTTCTCTCTTTCTCTCTCTCACTCTCTCACTCTCTCACTCTCTCTCTCTCTATCTATCTATCTATCTATCTATATATATATATCGTCATATATATATGCAGCATCAAGGGGGTATGGCGGAATTGGTATACGCTACGGGCTTAAAAATAAATTAGAATTGCGCCTTTTTAAGAATATATATATATATATATATATTCTTATATATACATGTACAATAAAGAAAACATATAATACGAGTTTATGTGTACACCCATGCACAAAACTGGCTCCAACCACGAACAAACAAAAAAAAGAAAGTCAATTCCACCTTCATGACCCACCCTGTCAAATGTATTGGCACAAGGAACGCTCAAGAACAGAAAAAGAAATGAAATGGACAACATATACCCAGAAGGAGATGAGATGAGAGACAACATTCGGAATTCAAAAGGACCGTATTCATAAAAGTGGCACACGTGTTGCATTCGTTGAAACAACCTCCATCTCAGCAATTTACATTGGCGAGAACTTGCATGTCACTGTCCCGATTGCGATGCACACTCTGCACGGACGCTGTCCATGGACTCCATACGAGAATGAAGCGCCGATGATGATGTCGGCGATGGTTGGGACGTCAATGATGATTGTGTCGACGAAGATGATGAAGACGAGTTCGATGACGACGACGATGATGATGGTGATGACGAAGTATCGTCATCATCATCATCATCGCCGCCGTCATATAACTCGTCATCATCATCATCGTTGGCACCATCGTCTCCCACGTCCCAACCACCGCCGACATCACGACTGGCGATTCCTTTTGCCACGGTCTCGCCCGATGGATCCCACTACTTACATGACACGTTCCCAAAAAAAAATAAAAAATGCAATCCACAAAGAATCACCGCCAAGAACACCGCTGTAGACATGTCATCATCATTATGTTAATGGCCGCCGTCATTCAACTCGTCATCATCATCATCGTCGTCGTCATATAACTCATCATCATCATCATCATCGCCAACAACACCGCTGCAGACATGTCACAACACCGCTGCAGACGAAATCATCCTATCTGCCCCTTCGTTGGGGCACTACATCGAAACAGACATTGATTGTGCCTCGAACCTTCTCTCCCAAACACTACTGCGAAACAGCGACTGTTAAACCGATCCCGGAACCGCAACACACGGAACGACCCCAACGACAGCGAAAATAAACCCAGCGACCGAATGTCGCCACCGCACTCACATCGACACACATCACCGGCGGTTAACGTCCGTGGCGATCACCATTTACGGACACGAAGGTCATCCTCAGGCACCCATGTATCCACCAGGCTGTGCAAGTAGCCCCTGCCCTCCAGAGGGGGGTTGAAGATGGTGTCGTACCAAGGCGTGTAGTCCATGCGGTTCTCAAACTCTTTGGTGATGGCGGACACAAGGTACTTGATGGTGTCCCCCACCACGTCCCGGTGGGGACCTTCCCATCTGTTTGGCACCACCTCATGCCTCTTCGTCACGAACAGGAGGACGTGGCTCAAAGCGCCATCACTGTCAAACCCCAATCCAGCCGTGATGTCCATCGCATGGACATCGTTGACGCGCACTTCATACACACGGGTGTCGTGACGTGTGACAGCATTGTAGAAAACCATGTCATGCCCGTGACGCCCGTTGCGTTTGTCTTGGAGCTCCGCGATGATCACATCGCGGCCGCAGACCCACTTCCACACCACAACAACGGGAGCCATTCTCTCTCTCTCTCTCTCTCTCTCTCTCTCTCTCTCTCTCTCTCTCTCTCTCTCTCTCTCTCTCCCCCGGCTCACACTGAACTGCGCAGACACCGAACGGTTTCGCCGAGATCATGAAGACGACCGCAGAATTGCGCACACACCGAACGGTTTCGCCGAGATCATGCGATCGCGTTCCAGCACAGGTGCTCCCCGGTTGCTCGTGCGATGTTATATACATCACCCCGCCCTGGCTTCATGATCTCCCCAGCAGTGTTTGTGAGTGTGTGTGGCAGTGGACAACCCCTCCCGAAAACTAGGTGCACACATCGATTCCACCCGATGACCGGTGCACATACCGATTCATATATATATATATATATATATATATATATATATATATATATCATCGGGTTGACGGGTCTGTGTCCCCGCCGCTGAAGCCCCCCCCCCCCCCCCCCCCCCCCCGAGCAAGTACCCCCACCAATAGTTCCAACACAGAATTTCCCCCTCTCATTGCATCGGCCACATCACCTATTCTCGCTGCAATTGTCGTGCCTGCTCCTGTTGTCGCTATCGCCAGGGTGGCCGCCGCATTGTCAAGTCCCTGACAATACGATCTCGTTGAGTCTTCCATTGCTTTGCCCAAGGACGATCCGCCTGATCCACCTTCATGCACCCTCGGCTTGCCGGTCCCTGTTCGGCGTGCCTTGTTTGAGCTGTCCGACTCTTCCGTCCCCGTTGCGTCGGATCCGACCGTCGGTGATGGCTCCTGTCGTTTCCCCAGGAGTGACTCCGATGCCATAGTTTTGCCGCACTAGATGGATGGTCGATCAAGTTTCCACGTCATCGCGTCCCACAACGCCTTCTCGAAAGACAGCGGCAGTTTCCTCTCTCTCCGCTCCTCAATTGTTACGTCAAAATACGATGGCTCCCCCGACTTCTTCTGTTGCTTGTCGAGGATGAGCTTCGCCGTTGTCATCATGTTCATCCACTTCTTCCGGCAATCCTCCGCTGTCCTGTGCATGTACCCGACATCCTTCATCCGTGCGACGACCCATGCGTACCGATCCTTCATCGCCATCATGCGATGTTGGCCGTCGGCGTCCGCCATGAGGGCGTCGTCCTCTTGCATCATCCTCGCGAGATGGATCCTCTCGTCCAACGTCCACGACACCTTCGGTTTGGGGTTGGCGGTCGGAGGCCGCCCGCCACGACGCTTCTGCTGATTACCCTTCGCCACATTCACATCCTCGCCTGGACGCCCTTGAACCCCCCCCTCCTCCACACGWCGACCACCATCTTCATCGTTCATCTCCCCCGGCTGCGTGGAAGTGTCGYCGTCGTCGTCTCCTTCATCTGCCCCGTAACTGGACCCGCCCGTGTCATCATGCCATGTGCCCTCACCATCGCCAACTCCTCCAGGCGTCCAACCGGTTGTATCCGCCGGCACTTCACCGTTTTCATCGCTGTCGACGTCTATCATGGGCGCCGACTGATCGCTCGAAGTGCGTCTGCATGACGAGGGGGAAGGGATGGAACTGCCCCCAAATGTCAGCTAGGTGCTTTGCCCCAACGTCCGCCTACTGTTTTGCCCACACGGAGCCGTTCATGGCAGCTCCGCTACGCAGCCATACCCACCATCCATGGCCTGAGATGCAGGGAACACCTGACCGGAGATGCCAAACGCTGTTCCGGCGGGCATGGATTGCACACCCGGCGGTGCATACCCGCCAGCAAGCTGCGCGCTGAACGAAGCGTTAGCGACGTACCCTGCCCCGGCTGGCATCGTCTGTGGTGCAGGGTGCGAAGGCAATCGCGGAGGTGCAATCATGGACTGCATGCGCGGCATCGACATCCCAGGTCCCGAAGGAACTCCCATGGCCTGCCCTTGCATTCCCTCGACGGCTCCCCTGTGGAACGGTAGCATACTTGGGGGTGGGGATGTAGCATATGCGACACCTGCATGCTGTCTAGGATCTGCCACGTGAAAACCGCCTTCCCCACCGGCATTCGGATTCGCCCTCCACCGCGACGAATCCATCACGACGGAAGATGTGCGAAAGATCCGATCTTTCCCCCACCCCAAACAGTGATAGGCCCTTGCAACACCTGTTCGAGCAACAATGTCTTGCTACGCACACAGCGTGAACACGGCCAACAATAGTACCACTCCACACAGATTCACCGCCAACAACACCGCTGCAGCCAACGCAAAGAAGAACAACAGCACCGCCAAAGACGCATTCACACGATAACACAGCCGGCCGCTGTCATCCACCCCGTTCGTTACGAAGATGTAAACAGGACGGCAGTAGCAGCACTGATGATGATCGACCGTCGACCGTGTTCGAAGATCACGCACTCCCACTTCGCCACTGAACGGCAACGGGCCATGCACGTATTCACGTGCATTCACACCGTCCACAGCGACTCTCTCCGTCATGCCAGAGCGGTTGTGCGAAGATCGACCATGCGGAGGTTGGCTTGAAGTACGAGCAACCGCCGGTGCGATCCCGGACAAGCGTGGAAGGAGCACCCCTCCAGCGAACGACGACGAAGGCCGAACCGCCAGATAGGATTGCGCACTGCACACTCGTGTGGCCAGAAGCCCTTGCCTCCGTGATGGTACTGGACATGCACGCGCCCAACTTCCACCCGTGCCGTGGACATAACGAGGACGACAACATCCCACAGCACCCCCTTCAGACAACTGCCTCCAACCACGCACACACGCCTCACRGCTGCTCCTCGCTGCACGAAGAACCGCCGACATTGTTAACGGCYGACTGTGTGTGAAGTCGACGACGGCCGGCCCGCACTACGCATGCCCCAGCACTGCATGGATGGTCGACGTGCGCACTCCGCGAATTCGAATTTCCCGCCAACCCGTGCGAAGCGGGCGACAACACCCATGCGGAACGCCCCGCTCCCACAGCCCAACCCATTTCGAATTTTGTGCCCGTTGCAAATTTGGCACACGGGACCGCAAGCCCCCGCGCAACGGAATGGTCCCACACCCGAACGGTGCGACGCACCACTGATGTCCGTGGTTTGAAGAGACGGTCCACCCCATCGTGCACCGGACCAGGCCGCCCGTGCCCTGGTACGGCATCTTTGGGGGTGCCCCCCCCCCGTCTCAAAAAACTTCGGTTTTGGAAAACAGTCGCCGGGCGATCTGACAGTTTTTTCCAGCCGCCGACCATGTGGAAACGCTTCCGACGGTTTTCCACGACAGTCCGGCACTGGCAGTGGGGTCCCGAATTTGCATTCGCGCACCTTCCTGGCGGTCCAGTGGGGTCCCGTAAACATGGAAATGGAAAATGACTTCCACGCCGCCGGCCAGTGGGGTCCAAGCCCTAGACCCTGGGGTCGCCTGATTTTACTCTCTACTTTCGATCCCTTTGTTTCTACTCATCTTTAAATGGGGTACAGAATCTACAGATGCAATTTTTCCCTATGAGAAGAAAGGTCCGCCATCAGATTCTTCCCCTTGGATATGGTCCCACTAGCCACAGAATAAGGTTTTAACTTTTAACATTGAACAACAGACAGTCAGGCTATGTGACTCTCTTTTTTTTTTCTTTTTTTTTTTGACTCTCAATGTTCAAGAATCTGACATGTACTCCAATTCTTTTATTTATTTTTTGAATTCTTTTCTTAATTAAAAAAGTGTAATTCAATTCGATTACCTGTCAAATCTGGACAGGACAGCCTTTCAGGCCTTTTCTATTGTCATTATAGTATTACGGGGAACCCCGTAGTTGTTGGGTAAAAGCTTTTTTTTTTTAACTGCACTATGTTCGTCTCTCAAATTCTTTTTGCCTTTCTTTTTCGTTATCCAGAAAAGAAAAGGAACTAAAATGCAGCCCGTTCACTTCTAGGGGTGCTTTTTCTTTTTTTTTTTTCTTTTTTTTTTTTTCCCCCTAAGAGTCCATGGTGTTGTAGAGGTCAGTCACTGAGTGCACAGTGATCACCTGGAGCAGTAGGCCGTGGGTGTCCTGGAATATGAGACCACTTCCCATCCCATCCTCAGGTCAATTGTACTCCTAGCGCACCCCCTATCCTACTATCCCACGTCAGTGTGACCAGCACTCAGGACCATAACCCTACCAATGGCAGGTAACTTGGACCCAACAGCAGTGATAGGCACGAGGGCTGATCATGATAGGTTGCCCAGCCCTGGTGGAAGCGGAATCGGACGAGCCTTGTCGAACGGGAACTTCGGACGCCAGGCCCAGACAATCTACTACAGGCCCCACGAGACTCTGGGCCCTAGGTTTCAGACAGGGTAGCACCCATTGAAACAGTCATACCGTCCTTCTTCTAGCTTACCCAAGGCCAGGCGGAACTCAGACTGGCCTGAGCGACTTATACCCCTACCCTTACCCCAGGGTCTAAGCCTTATATATAGCCACTAGATAGTTCAACCCGAATATCATTAGGAACTCCGGTGGCCCATACCTGTCCCTAGCGCAGATACTAGACCCCCACAGTCTGATATAGTTGTGTAGTTCACAATGTATGTGTATACCCGAAGGCTGTGTATGCTTCGTGTATCTATGTATGAAGATGTACAGACAGCACTATATGTGGAAACTTGTGTATGTAGCGCATAGGCCATGTATAATTCGCAAGCTATGTATATGGCTGTGTGTGCTCTGTGAATCAATGTATCGAGATGTATAGGCAGCATCATGTGTGTATATCGAAGAGAGAACGGGGTAAGCTGGACAAGGACCCCCCCAAGGTCCGAACCAAGCACGAACCCGTGACCTTGAAACATGTAATCGTATGACTCGACCATGTGAACGACTAGTGGAAATGGCACGAACGTGTGATGTGCCAGACTGGGGAGTTTTCTACATTGCACGAGGATGCCATCTCTTGGCCGAAAGAAATGTTAGGGGCGAGAGATGTCAAGGGGGGTATGAAATTAAACCACCAGTACTTCCTAAAGCCGTGCCCGTTAAACCACCAGTACTTGGCCCAGCTATCAGCCGCGGAAAAGAATAGAGTCTAAACGTTTCTAGTCGGATGAATTTGGGCGCTCCTGTAGTAGCCCGTACGTTTCCTAAAATCGTGGTGCGTTAACGGGCAGGACTCGAGGAAGTACTGGTGGTTTAACAAGCCACTATTTTAGGCAACGTACGGGTCACTACGGGAGCACCCAACTTCGTCCGACTAGAAACGTTTCTACTCTATTTTTTTCGCGCGGCCAACTTGAATAACTGGGCCAAGTACTGGTAGTTTAAGAAGCTCCAAAAGCACAGGAAAATGGTCTGAACCTACAAACGGGAGGACATGGCCTCAAGCAACCTGCAGCAAAAGGACATTCAACACAAAAAAAAAGATCAAGACGACATCTTGGTACTAAGTATTGCTGGTGAGCTCCCCTGGTGGCGTACCACGCGTAAGAACGATCAAAGGGGTGCAACACTCAAAACGCATCAGCAAAACCATGCATCTGTGGGAAGGCTGTGAGCAACACCGCCTCATGAGAAATAGGGCCCACCCCCAAAGAATCCGTGCCAGGCAACCGCACAGTGTTCCAGTCTCCCCCCAACACCTTTTTTTTTTTTTTTTTTTTTTTTTTTTAATGGTCTCCCCCCAACACCAAATGGTCCACATCTTGTAGAAGCCAGGGCAAGGAGCCAAGGAACACGATTCGGTCAAAATTACATAGACAGTGGATGGATTCCTGCTGGCATTCTGCGAGTCTCTTATTAAACCACCAGTACTTGGCCCAGCTATCGGCCGTGGAAAAAAATTAGAGTAGAAACATTTCTAGTTGGATGAATTTGGGCGCTCCTGTAGTGGCCCGTACGTTTCCTAAGATCGTGGCGTGTTAACGGGCATGACTTCAGGAAGTACTGGTGGTTTAAACCACCAGTACTTCCGAGGCACTTTTCTCCAACCCTGGGGTTGCCCTGCACGCCAAACAACGAACCGGTGCGGGCCATTGATAGTTTTTGTCGACCTCCATCAAGGCCCCAAAAATTGCTGGGCGTGCACGACAAGGGTCCGCGGCCAATATATGGGCCAAGTATTGGTGGTTTAAAGAGGAGGATGGTCTGCAGTTTATCCATCCGGGGCCATGCCCCACTAGTGGGGTTTTAGTCTGCCTTTTGAGGATTTCTAAACATGGCCACAGTGTGGCCACGAGGTTTTCAGGAACCCGCGCTCGAAAGCAAATGTAAATCACCGCAACTGTCGTCACCCGACCGAACAGAACACCCGGTTAGTATCACCGTATCCAGACTATGTGGAACGAGGCCACACAATTTCCTTAAACCACAAGTTCACGGCCCCAGCCTTGCAGTCGGAAACTTGTCGCCACAAGAAAACAAGGCCGAAACGTCAAACGCTGGGCCCGCTGTCGGTGCAAATACCCTTACAAGCTATGTTACCAGTTGTCCGATGGCAGGACGTCCTGGGCGGACAGTCAGGGGGGTCCCGAACGTCCGGGCCCGGACAACTCCATTTTTAGCACATAAATGCACGAAAAAAAAATAAAAAAATTGGGGGTGCCTTTAATTTTATTTTTTATTTTAAAATTGACAACGAATTTCAATATCATCCCAAGGCAAAAGTTGTTCAGTTTATGTTTCTGCATAACATAGTGTTTTTCAGATTTTTTGGAGAAAATCTTTTTTTTTTTTTTTTTTTTTNTTTTTTTCCGTTCAGGCTCGGACAGTCTGTCAGGGGAGGATGTCCGACCGGTTGTCCGAGCGGACAACCCCGGACGGTCAGGGGGGTCCCGGACGTCCGATCAGGTAACCTAGCTTACAAGGGTATTTG